TGGATACTTTATACAAATCCCTTAATTGATAGAGACATGATAACTGCTGTGGATTAGAAATGCTTTATAATACGTCACTACTGTCCGCTCATTCCAATTCTCGGTCAAATACATTTGCAGATGTTTCATTTTTCCACTTCCCTCCTCTTTGGCGCCCAGCAAGAAGGCATCAGATAACACATCTCGCTGCTGCTTGCTCTTCCGTTATTGGTTTTTCAGATTGATTCTGCTTCACCACTTGCTCCACTCGGACAAGAACAGATCAATCTGGACTTCTGACGTGTGCCGATATACTCCTGCGTCCAGCATGGATCCGAGCTATTTTAAAACATCGCGTTTCTGTAACAATGCAGTGAATCCATGCATACTGCCGCCGTCATCTGAACGTGAACAAATTCTTTAACAACTATATATCGTCACTGAGCTCATAACCACCATTTTAACAAATCCACTCAGTGTGGACTGTGTAATACTTTATGTAGCTGCTGGTATTTATGTATTGCATAGATCGTTTTGGGGGACATTTCAACAGCATTTAGGCAACCTCATAACCGATCGTATATGGATGGTGAGATGGTGGAAGTCTAGATATGACATTTTGGCTGCAAATAGTTTCACTCTATAATGAAAAGTAATAATAATTATGATCAGAGCGTAATATTGAAGAAAACTCTCACTCGTTGTAGTTAACCTACAATTGAAGGAAGCGGCCCATAATGGAGTCAGCACGACATTCTGAATTTGATTTCCTAACTGCAGCTTGGCCATGTCACAGAGCTTGATGCACTGACACAAAGGTAATGAACTCGCAGATAACAAGTAGGTTTATAAGGCCATGTGCATTCCAATGTCCAGAAGCCCTGCCTTACTATAGAGCCGAAATATTTCCTAGGAGTTTTCTGATTCATCCATCTGTCCATTTTCTAACTGCTTGATCCAATGCAGGGTCACGAGAGAGCTCAAGCCTACCTTGGCCAGCAACAGGTGCAAAGTGGGACACACCCTGGACAGGACACAAATCCACCGCAGGGCACACACAGACCGATACCAGGGCAATGTTTCCAAGAAGCCAAATAACTTACTAGTAAGTTTGTTGACTGTTGGGGGAAACTGGAGTGCCAAGAGGAAACCCACCAGAACATTGGGGGGAACATGCAAACTCCACACACACACAGCAGCCAAGGTCTGGAACTGAATCCAGGGCCCCAGCCCTGCTTACCGCTGTGCCACCATACAGTACCTCATTTTAAGAGTTAATACATTAAAATGCTTTAAAATACTTCTAAAGACTGTTCATTAAATTTAGCACTACTGCAGTATGGACACTGCAATCACAATGAAATGCAGTCAACCGTGGTTTCTCACATATTGTTCTGTTCATGCAGGTTTCAGAGGGGCACACAATTTTAACGTACTGTATGCCAACCTTTCCCCTTTTTTATACTGGCAACATTCCCCTTCCATAAACTTTAGTTAACAAAATGAAAATGTAAAACAGCGGAGACTACAGGGAAAGGAATGAGGAAAGGAGTATTCATCTGGAGCTGTGACCCTCTCAATAAATGTAATCATCCAGCTTCTTGGATGATGGCTGAAAGCTAACTTGTGACTAATTCACATCATTCCCGCTGTTTTGGAACACTGACCAGCCCTTCTTCCTCTGCTGCTGGAACTAATGAGCCACCTTCCTTCAGGCCTCTATTTATGAGCAGCTCTCCGCACAACAAAGTGTGCTGGCAGCAGGATTCAGACTCGTTACAAAAACCTACCACCTAAGAGGTGTCCGACCTCACCCCCTTCGAAACACGACGGGTGGGAGAAAAGTGCGCTGTGTGTTTGGGGTCGGCAGCAGCTGGTCGAGAAACAGTCTAAAGATAGAATCCCCAAAGGCAGGGGGCTTAACGCTGTCTATGCAATACAACACAGGAAGACAATTGTTTCCTCTTGACTTAACTTCCTCTGTCGCCCTGAACAGGGCTAAAACTCAGAAACGGATCAGGACACAGACTAAAGTTTCAGGATTAACACTGCTTACACCCTGAGCTAATGATCAGAATGATGATAAACAAATAAATGATGATGAGTTCTGAAAAGGGGACTGCGGATGAAGACGTGCAGCATCAATGACTGGTCATCCTGTACACTTGCTTTAAAAGAGCATGATGATTAGGCTTAAAACTACCGTATAGCTAAATGGGAGAAGGAATTATAATGTCTCACCTAAAATCCATAGTCTTATATCAGAAGTGTCAGAAGTGACTACAGTATCTCTCAGCTGTTTAAGTAAAAGAGGCGTCTGTCTTTAAAGTATAAAACGAGTGTAAACTTACAACCTCAGGAATGATAACAGGTATGGTAGTGATCCAAAGCTATCAAGACACTGCAGAGCCGTGTATAACATTCTTTAGACATGATCTAACCTTTCCTTATTCTCTACATCATCATGGATGGATAAGTGTTTTCTGGCAAGACCTTACTTTCAAAGCTCACTGATGTAGAGCTCTTAAGATCAACAGTTATTGTAAACTAAGCAGCACCGAAGACAAGCTGCAGCTTTTACCAATGTGAAATTGGCGTGACTAGCCAGAATAAAACATAACTGTATATTTTTCCAACTGGCTTTGTCTTCTCCCGTTGCAGTTGAGAGCCCCCATCTAAGGTCCTATTTCAGAACCACCTGCTTTTATTACGATTTGTCAGCAACCTTGTTGCTGGATAATTTACGACCATAACCGTAAGAGTTTAGAAATACAAACCTTCCAAGTGACATGGAACAAAAAAAGGAGAAATAGTAGGAGTTTTTTCATACAGTTTAAGCAGAATTTGGAATTTATAGCTAGGGTTTATCTGGAGAAAGATCCAAGAAAATATTTACATAGTTTTAGAAGTAGTCCACTTATTGTTCAAAGAATTTAATATGGGTGCATTAGTACCCTCATGTTAATGAGAATTCAGTTTCAAAGGATACTTTGCTGGTTAAGTAATAATTCTTAAAGTTATCAACCATAACAAATGAGTCAATGGATTGGGTTTAACAATAAGTTCTAGGCAAACCAAAATTGGATAATATCAAATCTATTGTCTACATATTTTAAAAGTTTAAGTGTGGTACTAAAATCTTAAATAATAACATATTTCAGAGTGTCCATTAATTAATATATTTGGCTATTAAATTGCGCATTTGGTAATCGTGAACCTGAAATTAACAGAGCCTTAGTCTGATGCTTGATGCATAAAGATCTGAAACTTGAAAGGCTTTTTCCATTTTCACAAAACCACACATAGTTTAGTTTTGGCTTTTTTCCTCCTGGAGTACTATAGACAAATGACGCCCTGTGCAATTACTTCCAGAGAAATAAATTACGTCATTCCCTGCAGGAGACAGACAGACATTTGATATGACGCTGTATATCCGAAACCCAGAGGATGAAAACATTCAGGAAACAAGCCTGATTTTAATTATTTTGTCTCGTCAAACTGAACTCATGTGAAGTGGTCATTAGGGTCTGTAAGGCGGTTGCGAGGTCACGGGAGACACAACATTTCGGTGATGTGATAGCTTTCGTTAGAACGGATGTCAAACTTCCTTGCAAGGAAATTCAGGCAACAACACTTGATGCTCTGGGTGGCCTGCGTGACCCTGTCTTTCTGATAAATCTGCAGAAGTGAAAAGAAAAAATAAATAAAACGAGAACAGTTCGGATCGAGCGATACACTTTACATGCGCGCAAAACGATGCATACTGTACATCTCCTGTGTTATGTAGTCGAGAAGGTAGGCGAGCAGAACAATAACGAAACAAGTTCCGAAGAAGTGAAGGTAGGACCAAGCCCATAGAAGATCATGTGTTGCCTCTCTTCGCAGGGTCACTGGGAGGGAATAGGAATTTAGGAATATGCTTCCTACGTGCAACACACACATAGCATATTGATAAGACCTAAGACCTCGCCGTTCTCAACCCCTCTCCTGTCCTGGTCTTTTGATTATTTACGTTGGGACGCTGCGGCGAAAGACCCCCGCTGTTTGAGCTCTAAACTTTAATAGCACTTGGCTGGCGGGACCCCATGCACACCTGGCTGTTATACTGTAGTTCATTTTCCCCAGCCAGACAATCGCTACAGTCAAAGCAGCCAATTTTTCATGTAAATGCTACACGTCCACAGTCTAAGTGCCTTCGTAAATTCCTCTTTTGAAGACTAATGCATACAGTCAGGAGTTGGATTTCTGTACTTTTAGAGTCAACTTCATTTTTCCGCGAGTTGTGAGGCCAAGCATTGCACGCAGAAATGTATCTTCTCTCTCCAACCCTGGAGTATTTGGGTCTTAACAACTGAACATACTTTTTCATTGTTTCGTATACTGTCTTATCCACTTTCCTCTCTACAGACAGTGACATCAAAAGGAGAAAGGGCTTAAAACCCTGCTCACCACTCTAACGCAGTCCCAGAAAAATCTTTCGGTTCTTGCATTTTTTTAAATATTTTTTTGTAAAACAGAAGCTCCTTTTAGATGTACAGTTTATAAAAACAGTTTTGTAAAAAAATAACACGTAATAATGCAGGGAACGATACAGACTGCGCCGCAGCCACACAATGTATAGACCAGTGCTAACTTTAAAATACATTAGCAAGAGGTCATTCTTGCAAACATAAAAAAAATGCACGTTGCTCTATCAAAACGGCAATATGACGCTATACATCCCAGTATAACATCGGCGGGAAACTAAAATCTCGCTTTACCAGAAATTAACAACACAGAAAAACACTGAGAGAGGTTCTCTTACAGGTTGCAAGTTTAAGCGCCGTTATATTAAGCATTAGCAGATGCGCCTCGGCTGCCAGTTTCACTGTCCTGTCCTGGCTACGTTTTCTGTACACAACACGTCGAACCGACCGTCTCCGTCAGAGCCCTTGGCGTGAGCCCTGGACATGAAGCAGCGAAAACAACCGGCGCTAATTCGGTACCGTGTCTGCAGACACGGAAAGACGGCGGTCACATACCCAGCCGATGCTTTCCAGCCCAAGTCCTGCAGTCCCCCTGCGCTCAGCTCCCGTCGCTGAGAGCCCTGTAGTGGTGGGTTGTGCTGAGCATGCCTGGGATTGGAGGGAGTCATCGGGAAGGGAACTGGAGGGAATGAGTTTTCCTCACCGTTTAAGGACTGAACGCGCTGCTTCCACAACCTGACCGGCGGAGACAGACATTTCCTCACTTCATTTAGCAGGCTTTTTTTCTGCTTACGACATTGTTTACATTTTTCAGTATGTATCCCACTTAAGTCATGCTAGGTAACACGCATATATATAGCTAGGTTATGTCTAGGTTACGCTTCGTCGCAGAGGTTTTACCCTTAAAAACGTTCATTGTTAACCAATTGTGGAAGATTATGGGATGCCATCCTCTATATACAACACATACCCCCTGACTACAAATACTGTGTCCTGTTTTTGCTTAAATGTGCATACAGGTTAATAGGACTACTTTAGTGTTTGGGAAACCCAAGACTTGTCTTTTAGTACCATACAGTACTACAGTATGGGAACCAAGTGTTTAGATTTAAAAGAGGAATTTCTCCTCTCGTGTCCTGAGTGTAGTTTTCACTAGACCATGCTATTTTACGTACTCTATTTTTTAATGTTCTGTTTCGAAAAGTAAGGAACACCACTAAACTATTTGAAGGCTAAACCCTCAATGATTTTTTCTTTAATTTTCAACGAAATCTGTAGATGTGCGAGATTTCTTCGTTTATGCGTTTATTTTATTTTTCGGAGTAATTCCGCAGCTGCTACTGTGCCCAATGTCTGCTATTTGCGTATTTATGTAAATCGATTTTGAGATTGATTAGCGTTGACACCTTTCTTAAAAATCACGCAAGAATCCCAGCCCTAGATCTAAAAACATGTACAGTAATCATAAGACAGGGATGAACTTCCAAAATACTCCATTTGTACGTTTTTCGGATTGGAGGTCAGAGATCATATCTCTGCAATATGAAAATTTAGGGCATCCTGCTCTGAAAGTGGATAACAGGCTTACCTGCAGTATCTTCTAAACTTTTTTTTTACAGAAACTCTTTCTGTAATAATTTACAGTAAGTAGCATTTATCTCCTGGATGTGTATTTTGAGCTTCTTTAGAGACTGATTTTTCCCAGATGGACTACATACTGTACATGGTGTGATTTTTATTAAAAACAAATAAATCACAAACCATGGGCACTGTAGGTCATTTTCAGAGGTTTTTGTCACATTTTCAGAGGTTTTTTTCCACTTTTGAGGTTTCACGTGAAAACCACAAAGCCTACTTATTTGTAAAGCATGAGATTTTTTTCTGGGCCTTTAAATCTGGGCTCAAGCACAATAACAAAGAGGCTTGGTGGTCTAAAATAGAACACAAATTAATGGGCTTTGTAAAGCCAGTAAGGGTGTATTGTGAGTTGCAGCACCATCTTAGTTCCTTCTTACAAGGTACCTGGCACAACAGAGAAAAGAGCTTATCCATAGTTCCCAAAATATGTAATATCTGAGCATGGTCACTATTAATCTTTTTACTTACTTTCCTCTTGGCAGTCTAGTTGATTAAGCAATCAGTAGGTGATTGGTAAAAAAAATAAAACGCCTGTAATTTTTCCAAAACCTTGTCTCTGCCAAAAGCAAATGTTTCTTTTCATAATCTTTATGTGAAAGAAATAAATATTTACTGTAATGTCACAACCAGAAATAATATTATAATCATACAATGTAAGTTTCATTTTTCCTTCTACCCAGAGTTGCCAAAGCATTTTACTATAATAATCCCCAGCAAACAATGAATCGTTCTTTCTGTGGGTGAAACATGGCGGCCATGCTGTTCCAGTCCACATCACACAAGAACGTACAGTATACTGCCCAGTTTATTTTGGATGTTCCTGTTATGGTGTTGATGCCACACAGTGAGATGTAGATTCATCCAGTTTTAAATATACCTTTTCACAAATCATTTGATACGATTGTAGAGGACGTGTCTTCATAGATCAATGTTTTGCACCCAAACAAGTACTTTAAAAAATGCAACGAAGTTATCTGACTTGGCTCCAGCACTGTTGTGCTTCATATTAACCTGTGGCTGGAAGGAGGATGTGCCAGCTGTTGTTTAATTAGGAAAATGTGTCATGGCTCCTTGTTAATATATCTTTAGCAGCTCCATGGTCATTGTGACTTGTTGGCTGAATGTATTAACGTGTGTCCACACTATAGAAATTTCAGAAAATATCCACACAGAGGCGGTAAACCCTGAGAAACAGGAATTATGGGTACAGTCAAAGAGACCCCTCACAAGGCAGACTACTTTCTTTTTGTAAACCAAATAGTGTCTTCTATCGTCGAAATTTCAAAGTGCCAGACATATTAGTTTCTCCTTTCACCTCAGGTCGACTCCTTTTTCAGAAAAGCTTAGAGTGGAAAATATAAATAGAATGAGAGTCCATGGGCTCACAAGTATAGAATTATAAACACACACTCTCTGTTGAAGGTGCATCATTTTTATGGAGTTATGGTGCGATGAAGAGACTGAATAGTATACTATTTTGGAAAATATATTTTAAAAGTTATCATATATTTAATATATACAATTTTAAACATGTTTTAAATGATTTATTAGGTGGCAGTGGTTAGCTGTTGTACAAACCAAGGCTACTGCTCTGTGCCAGAATTAGTCAATTAGCAACTCCCCCTTAATTATTTAATTGATAATTAGTAGGATCAATACAACAATTAAGGGGCTGTTGGACCAAAATTCTGTGGTGGAACTGGCCATAAATGGATGTTCACTGAGGAGACCTTTCATGTGTGGTAATTAATAAAAGGTAACTATGTTGCATTTACAGAAAAACTCTTTTATTGAATTGGAAAGCAGATATTTCTCTGCTTTCACATTTCACGAAGAATGACAAACACCCAAGAATAAAGCGTCATGGAGCGAAATTGTGGCTTAACCCGCTTGGCTGAGGGCTGGCCTCCCGGCCAGAGGACAAGATCAGGACCCCCCTGCAGGGTGACCAAGGGGCAGCTGCAGAGGTGGTGATGGGGTGTAGGTGGGATGCAAGAGACATGCAAGAGAGAGAGACACAAGGATGTTGTACTGTAGGTATTTATAGCGTTTGGGAGAGAAATGGATTGTGAGGAGCCATTGCTAATTACTGACAGCTGAGTCCAATTGGGCTTGGTTGTTGTCATCCCTCCCAAACTTTTGTTATAAACTCCATTAAAACTGTAGGGAATTGGATTCAAGTCTCATTTATGTAATTAAATAATCGAATTTAAGATTTATGTAAAAACACCATCTAACAGTGACTAAGAATGTAGGGTAAGTTGTAATTCCAGCACGAAGTACCCGGCGACAAGCACAGTAGTCACTGCAGTGATGTTTAGGAGAGCTGGTTTTGGACAAATTATGTTTTGGTGAGAAAAAAAGACAACATTCAAAACAGAATGTAATCAATATTTCAGGTGCAGTTCAAGAATAAAACGATCTCATTTCAAAGCTGTTGTGTGGTATTCATTCAAGAGTGGCTTCTGTTCAAGGCAACATTATCAACCTTAAGGTCATCAGAGAAAGACAAAATCAGACTGCAAAAGTGAGATTGGGCTTCTGCTGACATTTCAGTTTACTAGAAACTGATATATTAAAAAACACTCAAATATACTAAGAATCATAAATGGAACCAAATGGTATTGGAACAACCAGCATTTTAAAATTATTTTAAAAAATAAATTATTTATATTTTAAAGCTTTTTGTAAGTTAATGTTTTGGGCCACCATAGCTTCTGCTACCAATTGTGTGCTTATGAACACCTTCTCCCTTATTCCTCTTTTTGAAGCTTTTGTAGGTTATGAAAGAAACCAGTAAGCAGTGTATAATAAATAAATAGTTTAAAAAGTGAGGGGCTAACCCTTCAGCCATGCCTAGCAGGTAGTATGAATGTAAGTGTACATACAGGTAACAGGCTCTCATCTCCCAGCATGCATCATGTTCTATCCCATCCTTCACAGTCCAGTAGCCTCCTTCCATTCCAACCGTTGCAAGAGGAAAGAGGGGGTTCCAACTCCCCATACTGGCCCAAGCTGTTTTCCCAACCAGGTCCAAGAGAACACAATAGCCTGCACAATACTGTGATTAGTCTGAAGCACCTGCGAACACATCTTTTTATTCTGGATAAATCTGTCCAGAATCAAAACATTCAGAAACGAACATCTGAACAAAGTGCTCAGCAGCTGCGCTGATTTTAAAAACGTGAACTTTTGCTACTTAGCGCATCATCCTTTTTTCTCGATGAAGTGTGCTTAGCTCACACTTACAGTAATTACAAACCTACGCCTCCTCCTAGAATCGTCCTACCCAATCATTTGGAGGTCTCCAACTTGTTATGACTATTCCTGGGTTTTCAGATTGCCCTGTGGTTTCATAATCCACACAAGCTAACATGTGCAGTGATGATGTCCTAAACTAAATGAGATTGACTTGCAAAGTGGTGACTGGTTTTTGAAGTATTTGCTGTACTTTTAGATGTCTTCAAATACTTAGTGTAGATGCAACAAATCAGCTTTCCACGGCACATTTCTCAATTTTTAGTTCATAACCGATATCAAAAGACAAGATGTACATTTAAAAAAGGCTATTTTAACTTGATTTTACAACAAATTCAGTATTAAATAATAAAATAAAATCATAAGTTCGAATGTTCAAAACCTAAGCATCTAAAGATATCAAGTATTTCACGTCATTCAAAAAGCCATATTTTTTCAAAATAAATTATTATGTATTCAGTTAAAATTGAATAAATCTATTTTTATCCTCTGATAATGTCATTTGAACACTATCTCCATTTCAAGTGGAAAATACACAAGAAAACCCTTTTTGAAATGACATTCCAGGCAAATGGATGAAGCCAAAATATGATTCAAGTGCTTTAAAAAGATTAATTTGAATGTAACGTCAGGCGAAGTTGCAGCTGAATGAAAACAGGGGGTGTTTGAGATCTGTAAGCAGTGGTCCATTCTGTATTCCTTTCAGCTGTTCCTCAACCTTATACTGTAGCTCGATTCCAGTGAGAAGGTTGTGCTCAGCTGCAGAGGGTGTCAAGATGTGCAAGGATGTGATCTTGGAATAGGGTCACTGAGACACAAGCTTTGAGTCTTAAGTTGCA